GTTGCAACTGAAGCATGCAGTGGAGGATAAAATCAGAGGTGTAAATGATTAAACAAAAGTAAGCAAAGAGAGGCTAACAAATGCCTGCAAGGAAAATATTGTGAAAGTTACAGAATCAAAGGTAGCATCCAACATTGAATGGTTGCAATGGCAAATGAAGCATTGCACAGATAGATAAACCTCTACATGGTTAATACCTGAAAGGGAATTAAAGGCAAGGTGCATAAGAAGACTTGGCAATGCTTCAGATTTGATCCATCAAGAAGGAAAGAGAAGGCTTAAAATTTACAGCACAAGAACAAGTACCAACAAATGCTATAAAAATGTAAACTCAAAAAAACAAAAGAAAACAACAACCTGGAAACAACCTCAAATGAAGATTATGCAGAGGACGTTGAGCCTGGTGAGCACCTAATCAGTTCCTGCAGCAAAGAAACAAATGAATAAAAATAGGTTAGACTGTAAGACAAGATATGATCATGTGAGGAAAATAATAAATTGATTTTTGTCATAAAGTTTCATTTAGATGCTCAAAGTGTTGGTATGGTCATAATGCTGAAAGAAAGTATTCAGAATCTCCACATTGCAAACTCATGAGATTTCAGATGGATTAAGATCTAGAATATAACATGCTGGAGATCACAGTAGTTGGGGGGGGGGGGGGAAGTATCACTTATAACTGTGGCCATAGCAGCTGAGACTAGACTGGCTCAAATGGAACTGTAAAAACTTTTCAAGGGAAATAAGAGATTAGGGAATAAATGAGCAATTATTTTCCCCCTATAAGTTTTGGAGTTACTGAGAGCTATAATAACTGAATTACAAAAACAGTTGGCAAAATTAGAACTATTTTACCTCATCAGCTTTCTGCGGAACCACATGTATATTATAGCAGAATTTGGACAATCCTTAGGCTTTTGAACAAAGCTTGAATGGACCCTAAAACACTAACATTTGCTGAGAGCTCTTCAGAAGAGAAACAACAGACATAAAGGTATTATCTGTGTTAATTCTACTCCTGTACTCCAGCTTTTTATACTAATTGAAATCCTGAGTGCCTGTTATGTTAAATATTTGTTGTCAGTGCTTTAGGAAGATGTTACTTACCTTTCTCCTTAAAAGATGTTAATGTCAATGTGCTTGAATGAGTATCATCCTTAATACCAGAAATCTTTGCTATGTGGAGCTAGTAGAGTTAGAAATAGTGTCATCACTGTTTTCCATTATACTTCTGGGAGTCAGTCCTTGGAGAAGATCCCAGATTGCATGAGGATGTCCAGGTCCTAAGTTGCTAGACAGCAACACTGTGGTCTATATTTTCTGCAAATCTTTTCAACCTCATGTTATGACATTGACTTTTAATCCTAGATTTGCTAGTGTAGAAATTGAAGACTATGTTTATGGTACACCATAACAATTGAAGTTTTATTTCACCTCTGGGAGACTTATTTACTTGAAAGATGGGCCAAAATAGCTATATGGAAGCTATGATTGCATGTCATATTATAATGCAGCATCACCTCCTTGTTTTTCTGAAGAGGTAAAGACAATAGAACAATTGGGTCAACTTCTAAAATACAAGTAGGAAAAAATGTATTAAAGACAACAGAGAACCTACCATTTATCTCAATGATGGGACCTAAGATATCTTTTTAGACTATTGATTACATTCAAAAGGTATTTATAAAGGTAAGACGCCTGTTTAATGTAATTTTATGTATGTACGATCCTGGCCAAAGAACCATGACACACTCTTTTTGATCAGTTCGCCAAATACCCATGTCTAAATGGACTCCATCCTTTCATGTCAGAATTTTAGGTAGATAGGTTATAATCTGTTCTAGTTTATTTCCAGATATTTTCAGTTTCTTGAATGTGAGACCAAGCTTCTTAAAGAATCAGTTTAAAATCGTCTTTATCTGAAGAATAATTCCACATATTCTTCTGCTGACCATGCAGCAACTTGCATTTGAAAATGGGGTCATTTTATTTATTTATTGGTCCAAGGAGGACTATGTGGTCTTTATATATGAATTTCAACTTATGTATACTGAACATATTACTAAGGATCCTGAAGCTTCAGCCATCTTCTAGATTGGTTAGATTTCAGTTATAATAAAGATTTTTGGGAACCAAGGAATCATGCATACCTACTCCTTTAGCTATTTTAATCAGCATTCAGACCAGTTCCAGAATCAAAACATCAGAAAATAAGTAGTGGTAGCATAACCCTGTTAGCTCTTCCGGACTTCAATACTTTTAATGTCATTTATCACTCATAAGCAACCTTGTTCTCTGCAGATTGTTTTTTTATTACTGTGGCAAAGTCCCTTGTAGACAGAGAGGTGGGGAACTGACTTGTGAGTAAAAACAAACACTGAACTCTCCAAAGATGTAGAAAACCTGCTGTAGTTTATTCTCCCCAGACCCTTAAGCATTCAGGGTCAGGGGCTGAAAATAAAAACTGACTCTTCAGAGGGTTAGCAGTCCAAACCAAGAACTCAGAAGTAATTTCATCAATATTAACAACAAAGGAAGAAAAGGGGCCAGACTGCAGCAGTTTGACACTTGTTACCCTCCTTTTGCACCAACGGACTTAATGGGTGTGCCAATCTCACCTAAAGGCAATTCCTTGCTTAAACATTTTCAGGCCCCTTCCTTTCTTCTAAGTAAAGCTTTCCAGTATCCGGAACAGCACTATTCTGTGCCTGAAAAAACAGCTGGATCCCAACCATACAGCATAGGAGGGTGGGAGACCCTGTTTATGCAGGCCTTGATCAGGGTAATTCTTGCAGGTGCTTCCTCCACAGGCTCCTGCTTTCTTCTCCAAACCTCACACCTGCCCTTTAAGCTTAGCCAGCCCTGAGTCTGCAGGCACTTATAGACAGCAGCTGTGGCTTACTTATGAGGAGGCTGGGGTTTTTTTTCCCCTTCAACACAATTAGAGTTCCTGAAATTGCTTAGACTGGCTAGGGTTGAAGTTTGAAGTTGAAGTCTAAATCATGCTGGGCTAGAAACCAGAAGATTTTGAGTTCTAGTCCTGCCTTAGGCACAAAGCAGCTGAGTGACTTTGGGACATTCATTCTTTCTCACCCCTGAGGAAAAGGAAAAGGCAACTCCTTCCAAAAATATTGCCTAGAAAACTACAGGGACTATTCCAGGCAGTTGCCAAGAGTCAACACTGACTCAAAGGAAAGAAAGAAAGAAAGAAAGAAACAAATAAATATTTTTTAAAAATCTCCCTGTAATCCAACTTCTCTAATTGTAAGAGGGAGTTTCTACAGTACATCTATGGTAAAACACTGGTTCATTCTAGGGAAAGGTGCACATCCTTTTCAAGACTGACAACAATACCAAGGTTCAGGTGTTATGTATTTGGTTTGGTGGGAACAGGAGAGCAGTTTCCAAAATCTGCCAAGAAAACTTCAAGGATTTGTCCAGGCAATCACCAGAAGCCAGAACTGACCTGAAGGCACACCCACCCACAAAAACCCACTAAGAAACATGAACCAGAATTACTGTGCTTGAGCAGAGTTGGGGTTGTTCTTAGCATGATTTTCTTGTAGCTTGACAGAGGCAAGGACAAACTGCAGTTACCACCAAGGGCATTAGTTCTGGGAGACTAAAGTATGGGTGGAAAAACATTAACACTGGGAACTGGTGCTTTCACTCCTTGCTCTGTGGCACAGCCCAGCCTATCTCCTCCTCTTCATACTTCTGACCTCCAGTAGACCACTGCAATAGAGAGTTCCATTGTCCAGTAATTCCACAGAGAAGGAAAAGGAAAAGGAAAAGGAAAAGGAAAAGGAAAAAGGAAAGGAAAGGAAAGGAACGGAAAGGAAAGGAAAGGAAAGGAACGGAAAGGAAAGGAAAGGAAAGGAACGGAAAGGAAAGGAAAGGAAAGGAACGGAAAGGAAAGGAAAGGAAAGGAACGGAAAGGAAAGGAAAGGAAAGGAACGGAAAGGAAAGGAAAGGAAAGGAACGGAAAGGAAAGGAAAGGAAAGGAACGGAAAGGAAAGGAAAGGAAAGGAACGGAAAGGAAAGGAAAGGAAAGGAACGGAAAGGAAAGGAAAGGAAAGGAACGGAAAGGAAAGGAAAGGAAAGGAACGGAAAGGAAAGGAAAGGAAAGGAACGGAAAGGAAAGGAAAGGAAAGGAACGGAAAGGAAAGGAAAGGAAAGGAAAGGAAAGGAAAGGAAAGGAAAGGAAAGGTACCCTCACATCCACTGTCTAGTACCTTGTTGAGGACTCCACTTGTAAACAAATACTTCATGTTGATAAATGGCAATATTAGTAAGGTCTTTTTTTCTAAATCTGGGCTATTCAAAAGACACAAAAATGAGTATTCAAAATGGCACACTAAATTGTATAATTGTGATGGGGTATTGCTCAAGTGTGCTCCAGAGAGCTTCTCTTTGTGAGGAGTCCTTCAGCTTCTCACATATGCTTCTTTTATATACAGTGTATCAATGAAGTCTAC